ATTCTACATGTGTTAAGAGAGTCTAGCTCTGTAATCAGAAAATGAGCACGATAGACTGGCCACTCCATATTTGCAGTCCAGATCAACCCATTGAAAACCAGGGGCACATTATAAAGTGCAAAATTTGACGAAGAGGACCCAGGATGTTTAAACCACTGAAGGCTCATAAAGAGGAGTGCAGTTGTTATACTGTTTCTGTAATGGCTGGTGTTTCGAGACGCAAAACGCAGTGGCCGGAACAAAAGGAAGCGCAGGAATGCAAAAGAGACAAACACAGACAAAATAGGAGAGAGAGACTCGTGCTTCCAAAGGACATAAATCCAGTCCGAGCGAAACAAGGAAGCAGAGGGAGCTAGACAGTACGAAACAAAGGAAAAAATCTTGGGAACCGAGATAAAAAGCCAAAGCACCAGACGATGCACACAAAGAGGAAAAGAAAGAGAAAGATTCCCTTTACTAACGAACACTTTCCTTTTTTGCAACTAATTCCTCAACACTTCTCTAGCTAGAGATCTTGCAGGCTACAGTGCAATGGCAACACTGACACTCTAGCAAAGGCGGCAAGGCGGAACTTGGATTTAAATAGAGTCCGGGCACCGCCCATAATTGATGCCAGCTGGCCAAAGAATCCGATTGTGGGCAAAACGATATTGTCCCGGACGAGAGTAACAAAGAAAGCTCGCCAGCCTCCAAAAACCATGACGGTTTCAACTTTTTTTGAAATTTAGTTGGAGTTGTACACTGTCACAAACATGCACATGTTCAAATATTCAAAACCTACTCATCTCTCTCTCTCTCTCTATCTGTCAGTCTGTCTCATTCTCATAAACACATCAACACAGGTGTACAATTTATCGCTTATTGCACAGTAGAATATGCTACAAAGGCTGTGGCTCAGGCTGTGTGCTGGCATTTTTCATCTGTCGAGTGAGTGTGCAAATCTACATGCAGTGTAGATATTCAGCGATAACATAAAACAAATTTTTTGCCTGACATTCCAAAAGTATTAGGGATGTATCTAACTATCCCATATACACTAAGCTTTGATAAAAACAGTGGACTGTGAAATAAAAGCAGAAACTCCTGGTTTGGCATGCTAATATTGGCTATGACACTAATTTCAGAACAACAGCGTGGATATCATAATATTAGTCATGCGTACAGTTCTGTATCTGCAATATCAGCTTGGGGAAGTCCATATCTGGAAAATTTTTAAAAACAATTCTTAGGCTGTAGTAGTGGCCGTCATGGCAGTTGTCTCACATCCGCAGTCAGAGGGAAATGTGCTAGTGATGGTCTCACAAAAAAAAAAAAACCACTCACAAACATGGTTACTATTTAGGTCAGCAGTGTTGGCATGTTTAGGAAAATATTAGAGATAAAGAAATTCTTAAGACTGAATGAGCATCTCAAAATGATATATGACTAATTTTCTGCCTACATTTTCTATTTTCAGGCATGGAGATCACCCACAAGAAGCTATACAGTTTGAAAGCAACTTTGTTTTAGAAAAACCGTTGGTGGTTTCTGTGAGTAGAGCTTCTGGAAAAAAAGAGAAATATTGAATAATGTGTTTAACCTATTCTAAACTTTTTGAGTAAATGGTCTTTGGGAACTGGAGTAAGGCTGCCATCTTCATAATCTAAAGCCCAAGTTCACAAAATGTCAAATCCTTTCGCCCGGCAACTAGGTTGTTCTTTATCCTGGAAACAAAAAATTGCCACTGAATTTTTAAAAATTGCTGGCATTTGTCTTTTGTTGGTTCCAAGCATTCAGACAAATAAGTCAAGGATTGATAAATAAATAAAAAGAGACAGTTTTAACCCTTTGTTGCATGACCCTCTTCCATACTTGCCTATTAAGTATGGCAGGTGGGTTTGGTTACTGTAGAATCCACTATGCAACAAAGGGTTCATGAAAAAAAAAAAAAAACTGAAACATTCTTAGCACAAACACACATTTGCACACGCGCATACACGCACACAAATACACACAACACACATCCACACACAGCTTGTTTCTTAAATTCATATTTAACTATGTACAAGAAGAACAGTATATGCTTGGCTTTGCCTTCCTATATGTACGGTATGAAGACACATTACAATTTGTTTGTGTCTATAGCTGCCATTTATACAATCAACATAAAAAAATAAATATGGAAACTTGTAGAAAAACAAAGAACACAAAACACACTTTCTAACACAGGGGCTGATAACCTGTGGTACTGCTTGCACATTTTGTAGCGGCCAAGCACCGAAGCTATGTATGCACCAACTGTAATTGTATGTTTTCTTTATTATTATTATTATTATTATTATTATTACCATTTTTCCATAGCAGGTGTCTATGGCAGCCCATAGAACCAATACGACACGTTTTTGAGATTTTATACAGTAATGCAAGGTTTTGGTCTCTGTCCGCACAGAAAATTTGATGACCCCATGACTTTTCCTCTAGCACCACCATCAGGCCAAAGTTACACATACATTTTTGGTCATAACTTTTGAAAAATGAGTTGGAAATAAAAAATTTAATATCCCTGGAATCCTTAGGTCAAGCCAAGCCTATCACATCCGGTGACACAATTTTCCTCCTCATTAGATTTACTGCTATTTTGATTAAAATAACCATTTTCTTAATTCCTCCAACAATTTTTGCCCAATCACTGCCAAATGTAGCTCAAATCATGTCAGGCTCTCTACAATATTGATGTTGTTTTTTGTTTTATTTTTTTTTCTTATGGGTATGTCAAACTCTCTGCATGTGATGGCCCATTAAAATCTTTAGGGCATGGCTTCAGTTGACATTATTTAGCAAAACTTGTGAATGTCCTATCATGATAAAACATCACACATGTAATCAATAAATTGTACTGGCAAATTTTGCAAGGTATAGTGCAATTTCACACATAGGTAGTCCTATAGTTAATAAAAATGGGGAATCCGCAATATCTAAATGCTCATTTGGCCGATTGAATCTTTTTTTCTTTTTTGACTCTAGACATCATACTACAAGTAATTTAAGATGACTCGTTTGAGCCCTTCTGGTCACTATGGCCACCATTTAAAATTTTGCCAAATTTCTTCCTTTTATTTTTTATATTTCCTGCAACAATTTTTGCCTATTCACCACCGCATATGGCATAAATTATGTCCCTCCCAGACGTGTCTTTTCCTCTCCGATGTGTCAAACCTTATGCATATGACAGCCCTTTAAAATGTTTAGGGCATGGCCTCAGTTGACATCATCAAGTATAACTTGTGATCGGAATGTCCTATCATGAAAGAACCTTTCCTACATAATTATCCCATTTTACTGGCAATTTATACCAGGTATGGCCAATTTTATGTATCGGTAGGGCTATAATTCACAAAAATTAGACATTGGCAATCTCTAAATAGCCATTTGGTCCATTGACATGAATCTTTTTGTATATGATGCTAGACATCATATAACAAGCAATTATGATGGTTCAATTGAGCTCTTTTGCAAATTGTGGGCTACATTTTGAAAAATCAGAAAAACTTCCATTTTTCACGCCAACAAAATCATGCAACTGATTGGCTCAAAATTTGTTGTGCCTTATTAGAAAGGCATCTTACATCAGTGAACATAATATGGCAATTTCTTGGAGAAAATCTATGGGTGCATGTTATTTCAGCAAATTTGACAAAGAGGACACCATACACAAGGTCAGATGTAAATGCTGACTTTGTATTTTTATAAGAGAGAGAGAAAATTCTTTATGAATGTTCAAATAAATCTTATTATAACATCTTTACTGGAGAATCAAGTCTCCTGTTGTCACTCAGGCCACAGACAGCTGCTTCAACACTGATGATGACACTACACTTGAATAATGATGTAAACACATCACCATTTCATATTCACATGGCAAATTCTTCACGTATGTGCAGAAATGCTTTTGAATCAACTCTTTTGTTGTCACATGGCCCTTGCAGAATGGCCTTTGCATGACCCCTCGAAGGCTGTTCGCACCTTTAATTCTTTCTGCTATTTCACTGAAGAATATGCAGATCTGCTCAAATACAGCTATCACATGTTTGAATGCAGGAGCATTTAGTTAACCAAGAAGACAATTTTAGTTCCCAGAACATTATTGTTAGTGTAAGAATTCTAAAACTCTCCGGTTGTTCACTGTGCGCACTTTATGTTAAGGACGTTCTAAAATATAAGTATTCAGCTAAAAAATTGCTGCAGCAGAGAGAATAGATTACAGCATTATTTTAAACTATATTTGAATTGATGGAGACCACAGGATGGAAAACTCTCAGTCCAATCATTGTTGATGATTGTGTTGTAATTCTCTAGAGGGATAAGGGTAGTCATGAAAGACCAAAGTCCTTGAGGCGCAGTCTTGTAATGAAACAACTGAGCAAATGCCTTATACCACACTAAACCTATCTTAAAGTGTTCTGGCAAGGAAATGGGAATATTATCCCATGACACTGAACAGAAAAAATTAGGAAATAGTATTATATCCAATCCTGAGTGATGAAACGGCTTTTCATTAAACATCGTGAAAGCCCATTACTCCCTCATAGAAAGTTTATTCAACACAAGTCGCGGTGAAGTTTTGATTCTTTGTGATCATACTGTGAGAAGTGGCAATCAAATGACAGAAAGTTTCAGTGGATTACATTTGTGGGTGAGACTGCTGGAGAATGTCACACAGGATACTAGTTTCAGAAGCTACACAGGGCCCACAAATTTCACTGTTTAAATTAATTTTCCTCTCAAACCTATTTAAGGCTGATCACATTATAGGTTTCGCCCCAAATTTTTCAATAAATTGCTAATAAATTATTTATTCACAAATAACTGTTTTGGCAACAATTATTCCAGTTTTGGATTATTTCTTACCAGAATGAAAGCTCGTGACTTGCAGCATAGTGGTAGCAAGATAACCTTAAATACTGTTTATTGTTTTTGTTTTGTTTTTTTTTTTTTTTTCAAAAGAAAATTATATTTGCAGTGGCATGGTGGTGCAGTGGGTAGCACTATTGCCTAACTAACAGAAGGTTATGGGTTCAAATCTAGCTTGAGGCCTTTCTGTGTGGAGTTTGCATGGGTTTCCTCAGGCTAATTAGAGATTCTAAATTGTCTATTGGTGTGAGTGAATGGTGTGTGTGCCCAGTAATTTATTGGCTAGCTGTCAAGGGTGGGTCCCTGCCTTTTGCCCACAATCAGCTTGGATTGGCTCCAGTCCCCCCACAACCCTAGACGCAGTATAAATATGGAATTGAATGTAAACTTTTATTCCCTGCATTAGTTTTAATATACATAGTCAGGGCTATAAGTGCCTGGACACTGCCACAATTTTCATCATTGCGAAGCACCTTTCAAAATGAGTTTTGAGGCATTTGGCTAAATATGAACTGGTCATACTGTGTGACACAATTCAGAATTCATCCTACAGTTTTTGCCAGCAGTCACATCATTAATTAATACAGGGGAAGCAGTTTCATTGGCAGCCATATGGTCACAGAACCCAGTCTCATCGTGTCTTGTTATACAGCGACGCTACCTGACTAAGCATCGATATACAACAAATATACAAAGGCTTTTGGCGTTCTTATTTGATGCCAGCGTTAAAACGAACCCTACCCCTTGACCCCTAACCATAACCCAAACCCTTAAACGTCAAATAAGGGTGCCAAAAGCCTCCATTCGCGTCGTACATCAACGCATGGTCAGGTAGCGTCACTACATGACTAGTCAGGTTGAGGAGTCGGGCTGAGACTGTCGGCTCACACATGACAACGCTTCAAAGATGAGGTGGTATGCATTAAATGTAGTTCCTTCCCTTTTCCATACTCTCCTCCTCCAATAATTCTGGTACAAGTTGTTCTTTGCCTCATTTGTCCAAATGATATTGTTTGAGAACCGTATAGTAGTTAATATATAAGGATATATAATGATAAAAGAATATCTTTAGCAGTGTTTTTTTTTTTGCAATCTTCTTGATTTTGAGAATCACTAACGGGTCAAATCTTGAGATAAACCCTCTGTATTTACTCTGGTGGAGTCCTCTCTTGATTCTTGACATTGTCACACGTTTGCCTAGATTTTGTGGGGAAGGTTGTTGATCTAGCCTCCTGTTTTTAAGGGGTTTTTATTCTCCAGGGTAATCATTGTTTCTATAATAGAAACCAAAAGTAGCAGTAACTTTGTCAATGTCCAAATATACGTGCACAGTAAAAATCCCAGTGTTAATTCAACTCCAATAGAGTTAATTTGAGTCCAAGATGGATGGGTTGGTCTCATTTAAACTCTACTGGAGTTGAATTAACACTGGGATTTTTGTTGTGTGGCACTGAATGTATAATGTACAAGCTACTTCTTGCCAAGCTTTAACAGGGGCTATCACATGCAACTAACAGGACTGAGGATATATGCTGCATGTAAAGGATAAGAAAACCTATGGTGAACTTGCATCGCCAAATAAAGTACATAATCTCTGCCATCCAAAACAATAAGCAAATTTTACATTTTTTTGTATCGTGCAAACTGCATTTAAATGTTAAATGTATAAGACAGCACAAGAAAGCCGCCTGCATGTTACTTTGGCTGGAAGAAGATGCTTACGTCACCTGGGCTCATAGCTTTGTTTTTTTTTTTTTGAAGATAAAATGGTGAAAGGTCACATCAGTCAGGTTCGGATAGCCCGTTTCATTAGAATACCCAACAACCGCGCATTGTGGCATTGTCAAGGATTAAATATAGATTTCCAGCAAACAATCGGTTGTAATTCAAACAACTAGTATCTCTCAAAACACTCTTGATTATCAACGAACTTTCAATACTTATACTATGACTATGCACACTCGAAAGACACATCCAGCCCTCATTACGTCACGCACCGGTCTGGGGCAGAATATTTCCCATTTGATTGGTTTGATTGGTCGATTATTTTTTTTTTGGCGGTGATAGCAGATTCTGAAGTTTGTAGGATTCTGTGATTGAACGCAGATAACATCGTGTAAAAAATGTAAATAAAATAATGGCCTATCATTTTGGACAGCAGACATTATGTACTTTATTTGACAATGCAAGTTCATCATAGGTTTTCTTATCCTTTAACATACAACCATCAGGAAAAAGTACATGCCAAAAGCAGCCTTCTGAGAGTGGAGGCAGGTAACATCGTGGCTACCATCTGACTCATAGCTTCCATAATAAACATCAAACACACACACACACACAGAAAGAAAGAAACTAAGTAAGAGGTAGCCTGTTTCTATCACCTTGTAGTTTGCTATGCCCATCTTCCTCCCTTTCAGCTGATCAGCATCACTATTTTCTCATTTTACCTCTTCTACCACTTATGATTATCATTTTATTATTAAGTGCCGAGCACCAAAGTTGCAAAGGCACACATTGTTATTGTTAGTTTATCATTAATTTTCTTCTACTTCTTCTTCTTCTTCTTCTAATAATAATAATAATAATAATAATAATAATAATTTATTATTATTATTATTATTATTAGTAGTAGTAGTAGTAGTAATAGTCAATCTGTAGACTAGTCCAAAATACCTCATTCTGTGGCTCAACTGTCACTAGGTGACGTGATTAACAAAAATGTAAAATTAGCAACATCTGATAGATTAATATGGCTATAATGAACACACTGGACTATATGTGATTGCCCTGTACTGAATCCTGTACTGAATTCTTGAGATTCTGTGGCAAGACCTCAAATCTAATATTGGCAAAAGGAATCATCTGATTCCTTTTGTGCATTTAAGCACTAAACTATGCTACATTGCAATTCAGCAGGGGAACAGCTGTCACTAATTCTGTTCACAGTACTTTGTTCTTTTCCTTTCCTAAAAAAAGAAACCATACTAAATTCCAGCAATTTAATCTATTGTATAACTCAGGTAATTCAACATAATGTCCTAACAAACATAGGTTCTTCTATTTCCTATTATTTCTGAACACATCTTGGAGTGTCTCATTGTGTCACAACCCATAGACCATGCTTGGCCCCTCAAACGCTAGTTGAACCTTTTATTATTCACTTTTAATTACAGTATTATTATTATTAATATTTCTACTTCCAATAGTAGAGACCCTGCAGTTCTGAGGTTTTTATTATCGTCAGGTATAGCATTCTCAATGAACCCTTCCTCAATTCAAAGAATTATTTATGCATATTGTCATTTTCAAAACCCTGTATTATCGGATAAATTAGAATTTTCCACGTAAGACATGTTGCATGATTGATCTGCGATGACATTTGCATGACAAACACTGAAAAAATTTTATCTTTTCTCTTCAAACCAACCAATTTCCCTTCGTCTGTTACTTTCCTCATATGCAAATATTTGCATGGCTAAAGAGGAGGATATTCATGTGGGTCTAAACTGATATCCCCGTCTTTCTTCTTGTGGATTTCATAATTACTAGTCAACCTACTTATGATACCATAGAAATACGTGACTTTCTGTTTTCATGAATAATTATTCTTTCAACAGCACAAATGATTGGGAATAGCAATAACAATAATTTGGATTATTCTACCCCAACAATACTTTGGAAATAAATGTTTTGAATTTATCAGAAACCACTCTATGGAGACAAGCCAAAGGGCCCTTGTTCATCTGAGAATTTAATGTCAATAATGACAGGAATTCACAGTTTTACACATTTGTGCATTTTGCAGACACTCCTGTCTGGAGTGATGAACAGCACAAAGTGCATTAGCACGTACTAAACTGCTGAAAATCTAATCCCTGAGAGAACACAATTTACTTTTCCATAGTACGTACTCAGCAGAAGTCAGATAACAATTTTGTAGAATTTAATGAGAATTGGCTGAAATTTTTTTCTGTTAAATGCTGATTTTGTCACCTCAATGATACAGAGCAAGGCAAACATATAATGTACCATGTTTGGGTGTAATTTCATGATCAGATAATACATGTGAATGGGCTGCAGCAGGAGGTGCTTTTGGCTTCAATCACTTTGGGCTGACTGCTCAGTGTGAGACACAACTGCATGTTACATTGAAGGCCAGAAATTATTCAAGTAGGATACTGATAGCCAACATGAATTTGTGCCAACTTTGTAAAATATTATAACACATACTCTTTACTTCAACATTTATGTGTTTTTTTAAAGATGTACTGAAATATGTAATAGCTGCAATAATGTTTAGAATTTTGCATATAGATATTCCTGTCATCTTTCAGAGGTGAGGACAGCGGAATCATTTTTTTATTTTCAGACATAAACTGAAGACCCACATCTGTGATTTAGATTTTAGGCTTATGGATGCAATCTTATTTAATTGTAAATTACAACTTTGGTTCTCATTTAGTATTGGTAATCTGCATTAGTGGTTAAATGATGTAACAAATATGCCTCCCCTGGTATGATGATGTTGATGATGTTGGCAAGGTTGAACACTATTACTTACAAAGACGGGCAAAGGCACTTGAATAAGTTATATATAATTTCAAAATATTTCAATATATTCCATTGTTACATCCATTAATGTATGGGTGATGCAATGACAAAATGTAACATTGTAACAAAATTATGAGATTAAAATGATAACTTCCAAGATACAACCTCCTAGTTTTCACTGTAAATGTCATCTTATTTCAGGCTGGCTCATTTGTTTCATTGTTGTTGCACACAACACCCACAAGATGTGCAACTTGCAAAAACACAGAAAAAAGCTCAAAAGAACAGACAGCAAAGAGGCTAGGGGAATGATGGTGCATAACCACAGCATGGAGGGAGGAGGTATGGGTGTAGACTCTTTAAATGCTTTGGTTGGGATTCCACCTAAGCATTTTTCCATCTTCTGGGCTCTTTTGTGATACCTCCACAACCCTCTGCTTTGACATGGTGCACAAAAACCCCCACTATGGGCCTCTGCATTGCAAAACCACCAGACTCCTCACAAAACTGTATGTTTCTTTCCACTCACAAAGGAAATGACAATACAGCTCATATATTTATTTAGAACATAAACTATCGCTATATACCACTATAGTCAATTAATTGAGAAAATAGAAAGCATATTTCAAAAGC